CGGACAAGGTCATGAGGTCAACGAACTTAATTAAATACAGAGAAATGTTGATCTGGATCTTTCTATCCCATATGAGTAGTCTGTCCTGTTCGAAAGTTTGAGAGATCACAGGAGCTGGACATGCGCAGATTAGCCCCTTTAAATATATTTTGACCTGTCTTACCTCACATTTCAGGCGACTTCTTTCACAGATACTGACTTATTCGGAATACATATTTGAAAACATTTTTTTATAAAAAATCAATAAATAGAAAAGTATTATGACACAACTGTGTACATATTGTTATTTTTCAGAGTGAGCTTTTTCTTCGAATAACGTTGACGAAAGTATATAAACATTTCTTTTTTTTTTAATTTTCAAGAGATGTTTTCCAATATAGTCATTGGCCCGTTTTCATTTTCAGATAAGTGCCTGTCCTTTGTACGACGATTAACCATCGATCACCTCTCTACAACTTATTTAAATTATCACGCCCGGTATTAAGTTCTGTCAATTAATTCAACTGTCCCGTACCTTTATGCTTTTAACAATGACCTATGAACTTTCAAAATGTTTTATAAATATATTACAAACTTGATAGTTAATTTCTTCATTGTTGAGCGCTTTTTTGTTGTTTTTGTGCGTTTTCAGGCTCTATTGAAAGAGAACCGCCAGGTGAACGATTACAAGTGTACGAAAATGCCTCCGACAACAACTCGAGGATCAGTGTCATTTCACTCAACGGTTCACATATAGGCAAGTAGCAAAATTTGAGTCAGATTTTTTCTCCATATTCAAACTTGTCTTTAACAGTAGAATTTGTAGTTAAAAATTATTATATTTGAAAATAAAAAGAAATACATTGTAGATAAAAAAGCTGTTTAAATGTTAAAAAAAAACAGACATGAGTATATTTTAAGATTCTTCAGGTGAGGAGGTTATCTAGCTAGCTGTCTGAACATCGATAGTAATATTAGGTGCCCGTGCTGAAATAATGCATGGAGGGTCACATAATTTCCTCCACCAGTAAAGCTGGACAGTCGCCGCATGATCTTTCCTGTGTTGGTTCCACATAAAACCTAACTAAAGAAAAAATAATATTGAAAAAGTTCATGTTGATAGCAGATTGTGAATGTGTTGCCATATCATACAGCTAATACTATTATAAATAGCAACATTTTGATTTTGTATCATTAATATGTAAAAGAGAAACAATGCTTGATAATTAAATGCTCAAAATGTTACATAGACGAAACTATTAAAATTTTACTATCGATCACCTCTTTACAACTTAATTTAATAACCACGCTAAAAATTACTTCAACTATCTTGTACCTTTATAAATGCTTTTTAAATATGATCTATGAACTTTTAAATTGTTTATTTGTTTGTTTCTGCTTGCTGTTTTTTTTGTGAGATAATATGCGGTTGGGCGTCTCTGGTGGGTTTATGTAACATCAACATAATAATGGTATTATGATGACTTTCCAGCTTTACGTGTGGGTGGAAAAAGGCCCCAGATGCCTTTCTGTGCACCATTTTGGACAGAAGCAGCAACCTGATTATAACTTAAATCCTTCCGTTAGCAAGCTGAAAAAGCTTCTTAACATGAAAAAATCTAAAGTTCCGGGAAAGGGTCATAATGTATTAAAGTCACTGAAATGAACTTAAATGCAGAGTATAGTGTTTAATATTTGTGACAATTTTGATTTGACTTGCTACCTGAAAAAAACTTAACTCAGTCTAGTCGGACGATGATTTCAAACTTTAGATATTAATGAATTTAAGTCAACGATAAGATAAGTATGTTATCGTCCAAGAAAGGATAAATATGTTTTGAATATCGTATCAATTGATAGACATTATCTGTTTCATACTTAGATTGATAAGTTCAATATATTTTTCACTTTGGTCATTTATTTATATAATTGATTCTCCTTCAGGTTCCTTTCAACAAGAAGTCAGAAGACACTCATACACATATTCTTCTGGTATGAATTTATATACATATTTCAAGTTCAGTGGCATTGCAGTCATTCTCGGTTACCACCACATTTCACATATTCTAGAACTAAACAAATGAACTTCTTGAACACTTAAATTCGAGAACATTTCAAAATTAACAGTATATTAACGTCTTAGATATAGAATATTACTACTACAGATGATTTTTTTCTCCATGAAATGTTTTTTGGGTTGAACCAGAAAGACATTTCGTCATTTTTGAGACAATGTCCCTCAAATTTGTTAACTTGAAATGGCGATTTAATTTGGTCTATTTAAATAAATTTCACTATATTAACATTTAAAGAATGAGAATCAAATTGTAATGCAATCTTGATCATATTTTTAAAAAACCATCACAGGGATATGAAATTCACACCGAATATGCTTAAATTTTATTTTCAAAATGAAATAACTAACAAAACCCACAGATATTAACTAACAAAACCCACATTATGTTAACTAACAAAACCCACAGATATATGTGAGAAGTCGAACCCTTGATATTGCCTTCTTATTTATTATTCATCTGTCAAGTTGTTTAAAAAGACAAAGCTATTGTCCGGTAATTTCAATATAAGATCTTTCATCACATTTCCGACAATGACTGAATACCCTGGCAGATTTGGAGGATTATTTGAAACAAACATGTATATCTTAAAATATCAAATTTAATACAAAGAAAAATAAAACAACATGAACACCACCACCACCACAACAAAAACAACAAAAAAACAGCACAATAAACTAACAAACAAAACCTCATTCACCCTTGCATTTGCTGACTTTCATTAGGTGATAGATTTTTTGTCATATGGTTTTTAATGAAATGTCTTTCCGATATAGAATTTGTAGAATTTCATTTGTATAAGTACTTTTTGTCGGCGATTTAAGTAACAATCATGAATATGCTCATTATGTTCATTATTGTGTGTTTTACTGAATTTTCCGATTACGTTGATGTCATACCAGGGGACAATGTACAGCAAAATTATATACTTTCTAGAAACAACTCAAGGGGCTGGCTCAGTTCAAGCACAGGTTCATGTATTGGTAGGTTTGAATTAGGTTTAACAAAACTTAATTTATTCTGAAATTTGTCATTTTAAGAGAAAAACTGCATTTTTCTATTTCAAAATTTTCACCAACGGTGGAAAAGTTGTATGGAATTTTCAAAAATGGAGTCGATTACCGTTCACAATGAATATATGCACACAAAACTTTTGTTAAAGGCCGTTTTACTTTGGGTAGCGATTGATCAAACAGAACAAAATGGTGAGATATGGAATCACGCATCAAATAGAGGACACCCATAACGATCTACATGTCACAACACTTGCATCAAATGCAATTTTAAATGTGGCATCATGTTCAAAGTCTTCTTCGGGGTTGGCAATAATCATTTATACAAAAATATGGATTGAATATGAAATGAACATCTTGATTGAATTTTAAGGACAAGGTACACTGTGTAAAATACAGAAAAACAGAATCCCTTAAGAACGCCCAAGGCAGAAACATTGAAAACATTGTAGACACTGATGGTTAGGTTGTTTGTGGGGAATCGATGTAAGATTCAAGCATCGGGATAGCTTTCCATCGAAGGAGGACTAACAGCACAACCGCTTTATGTGACGATTTAATGCCACCTTTCCTTGTTTATTTTCTTTCCATATGTATCACACTCCATCGACTCATAGTGCATACAGGTAAAATAATAGAAAAGACATGGTCAGCTGCTTGGCGCGTCGAACTACATGTAGTAATCAAATGACACTAGCCGCATGGGTTTAAACCTCGTCTGGGACAGGCCGTTGATTGAAGTTGAGCAAGAAACTCAATACTGGTTAGTTCGAGGAACGGATTGGAAATTGTGGTTATAAGCGTATGGCTTCATACGCATTTTAACCAAAAGCATTCTGTATAAACCAATGTGCAAGTTTTGTTGAGGCGTGAACATTTTTTATCAAGCATACTATTCATTTAAATGATAAAGATATCTCAAATGCAAACAAAAGCAACTGATGGAACTCTATGTTTAAATTTTAAAATAAACAAAACAAGAAACATCCAATCAATGAAACAGCCCATCAATTAGCCGGTGGTACAATTATGTCACACTGCTTATTAGTGTTGTGAGGTGTATTAGTTTTTGATGGTTTCTTTCTTTGTCTTTCTTTTATACCTTTTTTCAGATTATCCTATACCAGACCATATTCATGGTGCTTCGAGACGTCATTTAAAAGGTAATAACATTATCAATGTCATATACAGTTCCAAATCGTGCATATGCCTTTAAGAGTTCACCAATGATAGAGATAACGGAGTAATGCCCAGATGTCATCAGATCAAACCAAGTCCTAACTATATTTTGCACCTGACTTGACCTTTACTTATGATACTAAAACATTTTTAATTATAGGCTTCTCCGATTGAATACCGTCGAAGACGATTTAGTGTTGAATACCACTGAAGACGTGAGGAATATTACACGTTTTGCCATAATGCGCCATGAAATGACTCGAGTCTGCAATTTTTACGTAATTTTGTAATATATTTTGTTAATATCATTTATGTGCAAAATTGTATTTTCCTTTATATAATTTCTAGGCATACTGAAATCAGTGGAAAGTCAGGAAGACGATATCCCTGTTGTAAGAAGTGGTTTACAGAAATTAGGATTGAAATCCACAGCCGGAAAGAAATCAAAATCAGCAGTAAAAGTGACACACTTAAAACCCGGTGTGTTTGTTTGTTTGAAAGTTTACTTCAAATATGCAGTTTGTGAATTTCAAATATGCAAATTTTACAATAAACATTGTTTTGTATAAAATTTAATTATCTTCTAACCAAAAAAAATTTTATATCGTTTATCGAAGGTAGAATTTTAAATGTATTCCCTTTTTTAAAATTTAAAAGTCTGCTTCAAAAATTTTTCCCTTTTTGTTCAAATAAGTCTAAATTACTTTCAATTCAAGGCAACTTTATTATTAAATTTTTTGTTAAAATGGAAACAGAAGTCAAAATCAAAATCGGCAAAAACAAAAACGATCAAGGTACATGCAAATTATAAGTCAAGAAGAGGAAAATTAGGTTTGTATGGCACATGTAGCAGTAATTAATTGTCTACCCTTCCTTTGTTCTGTCCTTCATAATAACATTTAAGAAAATTTTAAAGTTATTGTGTATAGTGATCTCTGATTTCGTATACAATGTCAAGTCTGAAAAAGATCTCCGTTTACATTTTTAACGATCATTTTCCGAAGAGCATAAAACGATCCTCTGGAAAAGCCTGCTGATTTTTATTAATCATCTCGAATATGATATGGACTGAAAAAGATCTACCCTCAGAAAGGGGAACAGGGCCAACAGGGCCTTTTTTACAGGGGTGAGGTCAGCAATGGCGAAGGAAACAATGTCTGTCTGAATTGCCATGGCCAATGAGCAAAAATGTAGCAATTTTATTAAACTGTTTACTATAAATATCAAGCTGTTTTAGGTATAATATCTTTATCAATACTGTAAGGAATAGTAAGTGACTTATTTGTTTATATAACTATAATTTCTTTGTAGTCAGAAGCCGTTCTCATAAACGTCGCCAATGGGCTCATAAAAAGTCACCAGTGAAAACTAAACAAAACGTTAAAGGTTGGTTTCATACCGTGTTATACATTGTACATTGTTGTAAATATTGTTCTAGTAACATATAATTCACTGTAATGATCAAACACTCCATAAAACCTTTGCTTTGAAATATAAATATTATTATAGCAAATTAAGATCTCCGAACATTTGTTATGAAAAGAGTTTGATTACTTTCAACTTTAAGCTAACAAAATACAAAATGTATAATGTTTAACAATTCAGTTTTTATAAATCTATTTCAGAAAAGAACGGCGTACCGAATTTGCAAAAATATCTATATCGGGTGTGTAATCAACTTGCTGAATCAAGTGTCGATATTGCTACGGTTTATCCGGCCAATGCTCCTAATATTGCGAAAAATCCGGTATTGCTTTGTCTTACAATGGAAGAATGTCACCATCTTCCACCAACATTTAAGGGTTTTTCCGTGATACAGAAACCGTTCTTTTCAAAATCGACAGAATCAGGATCTTACATTAATGAGAAGTATCAATATGATTCACAAAGTTGTAAAGAGATAGACGAAACAATCGCTTTTCATGCGGAATCATTGATGATGAAACACACAAACTTAGAAGCTATCAAAATGGGTTATGTTCGCTCTTCAAAATTTGGCATACTACATGAGCTACAAGAGCCATGCATTGTTTTACTTTGTCGCTGCAAATCCTATATTCCAGTAAATGAGCCTGAATTCCCTAGACTACTAAAACATCCATCATCTAAAACATATTACCCCACTGATGTAAGGGAAGGCTATTCTTCTTTGTGTTCTTCATTAACTAGGAGTCCTTGTGATTGGAATAGGGAACTTGCAATGGGCTGCAGCATTGGACAAGAAAATGGTGGACCCAGCGCTTCTCTCGGACCATTTGTCAGCATTAAGGAAACAAATGAGCTTTGCTTCCTTACAGTTCGGCATTTATTTCAACCATTAGACATACCTGATGGGAGACTTTTAGGAATACATGTAGTACAGCCGGCAGATAGTGACTATGGTTTGAGACACCAAATGGCATTGAATAACCGACGGTGTGGCACCGTAAAAGTTGCAGAACTAAGTACCAATATCGATGCTGCATTGGTGGTGATAAAACCGACTCGTACTCCGAGTAGAGGATCTTTCGTTGGTATACGACAGAGTGATTTAGATGACACAGGTATTTCTATTTACACAGTATGACTATATAACATTTTTGCCTCCATTACTTATTTTGGCAAGATGTCTGTTTATTGGGAATGTAAGTCACACAATACAATGACATAACAGCTTTACCGGTAGATGAAGACTCCGGATGACCAATTTCTGCAAGATTTAAGGCACAACTGACTTTTTGGGGCAATTCGAACCCATAGTAGTGAGAGGCAATTGACCTCAACATTAACCACTACGTCATTGAACTTTCACATCGCACACTAAATGTGATACGCAGCTTTTGCACGATAAACTGTATTAAAGATTAAAACATTATGTTAACAGTGAAAATAAGGGACTTCTGTTTGAATTATTCTGCTCTACGCATACTGTTGTAATTGCCGTTTGTTATTTTTCATAACAAATGTGTTGCATTTGTACATTTGTTCGGGAATCCGTAAAGTATTTTAGGCATCAACTTGAAACTTAATGTGTTGATTGAGCTCATACAGGAGAAGTGCGGTGCACGGTAATGATAACTCTTCCTAAAAAGGGAGATACTATAAAGTACTTAAGATATAAACAGATAAATATAAGTAGATATATCTTACTAAGGGAGAGTTCATTGCTTAAGAATCACGACATTACCCATCGTAAAGTTTAGGTTATTGCTCTTTGTCATTTTTCATGTTTCATTTCCTTTTAAGACCATAGCTCAAAAAGTTTTTAAGTTATCCATTACGAAATCCATAGGGGAATAGCTCTTGAGCATTTAAATGATAACTTTATAATCGTTATAGCTTTAGCTAACTTTTCTCAGAAACTATCAATGATATTCATTCCAAACTTACAATACATCGTATAACATAATTGCAGAAAGGCACATAATTATAAAATATATTTTTGCATCTTTATTCTCCTTATAAGTCTTATTTTCATCTTGTTTAGGTCAATTTTGCAAAGACTTACAAAGTTAATCACGTCAAACTTGGAATACTTGTTCAATTTTAAAGTTGAAATGCGTTGCTACGGGCTATTATTTTTGCTGAATCATGTCCTCTTTTGTGAATTCAAATTCTTGATTCACCTTTTTGATATGGTAAATTTCTCAAAACGTACCAAAGATATTCACTAAGATTAATGTCTGTACTATCAAATTGAAATTGTTTCCCTCTTATATGACATTTTTATTTAACTATCCAACACTGAGAAAAGTGGACCATGCTGTGCGCGGACATGTCCTGTTCATTATTACTCTCATAGTTTTAAAGTAATATCAATGTTTTTTTAGGATTTTGAGGTATCAACTTTAAACTTTAAAGATTTATGAATTCAGTGATGAGGGAGTGCATTTCACAAGATAAATAAATGATTTCTAAGCTATTGCCCTTTTTAATTTTTATACTTCATTTTTTAAGTCAAACAGCTTAGCTCAATAGAGAAAGCATTGAGTCTGATAGTCATTTGTCTCTCGACGATGTTTCAAAAATCATATGAAATAAGTAGTCGGTCAACTGAAGAAAAGACAGAGTAATTACCGACATTTTCTTATGTTTTTTTCTTCATTTGCTTGCTAAATATTTGTCTAGACAATTATTAATAAACTTCAAAATAGTGTATTGATACCTCATTAGAAAACAGATCAAAGTAAAGATGATTGCACTTGACAACAATTCTTCGCGTCATAATTTTGAGTTATTGCCCTTTGTTATTTCCCATGCTTAATTTGCAATATGTATATCTTTTTGTCAAGGCCTTAATTGAAAACGTATCAGAAATATCAGCTTGAAACTGTATGGGTGAATATTTATCATATCCCTTTCTTTTTCAATGTCAGTGAGTGTTTATATGCTCTCCTCTCTTTATAACTGTTCTAATGTTCGGCGGGGGATTATGAATTCTGTAAGTGCTTCTTTTTCTTGAAGGTTTTGCCCCGAGTTCCTATCCAACTTACGATGATGGTTGTGTCAAAGATGCAAGACAATTTGTTGGACATGACTACGCCCATGACAGAGTTATAAAATTTGGCAAACAAACTGGTTTAACCAAGGGTGCTATTCAGACTCGAAACATGGCCGTGAGATTAAGAGATGACATGGGACATATACAATATGGCGGTCGCATTCAGAGTCGTTTAATGCTAAAACAGCTTCAGGTAGACTCGTTTGCAAGGAAAATCTTTTTCGAGCAAGGGGACTCTGGATCTGCTGTTTTTTCTGTTGACAGAAATAACAAACTGCACTGTATAGGGATGGCAATTGGAGTAACGTCAGATTACACGTGCATTGTTACGCCTATTCAAGAAATATTAGAAAGGCTAGGAAAGAAACTGGGAAGGACCTTAGAGTTGAAGGCATTTCCATCTGAAAGTATGGATTTTTAGAAATTTAGATGCTTAATTATTACTAGTAATCCATTTCTTCTGTATATTGTATATATTATTATACAATTATTGAGCCATTGAATATGATGTGATATTCACCGGCAGATGACATATTGACCGAGGCGATAGCCGAGATCAATATGACTTTCTGCGGTGAATATCACATCAATTCATGGCTTCATAGTCATTAATTGCTTTTATTAATTGGAGATGGCAAGAAATAAAAATCAGAAAAGTAACCTTGATACATGTACAAATTTTTCCTCGTTGAAGCGCGGAAAAAAAACGCACTGTTAGGCTGGCAACGATTGCGAGTGGCATAAAGTAATCAAGTTATACTCACATTCGGTGTACCTTTAGTAATGTAAGTATTGAAATATTTATCGAGAAAGCTATAAAGAACAAAAGCACAATTATTTTAGTAACACGCGTATTTAACGTCTACGGTGTATGGCTTTGAAATATGGAGTCTCATCTATTTTAGACTGGAAATCCATTAGAGCATGAATTATGATACTACACATCATTTATAAAAGTCTTGACTGCTGTTGGACATGAGATTGAGATATATTTAGATCATATAATAAAAAATTATGAATGATATAAATGCATTGTGTCCTTATGTTTTTCATAACATTACAATAAATTGAAAGGTGAATTAGTGGAAGAGTCCCCGGCCATATTTTACTCATTACGGGGCAATAAACGGGGTTACCTCTTGTGCTTGAAAAAAAAAGGTTTATAGGTTCGAGCCCTAATCGGGCCACGACCATGTTTCTTTATATGACACCAGTTCTGTTTGGTTCCAGGAAGTGGACTCGAAAGTAATGCATCAGTTACAAGAACTTGTTTCGCAATCAAGTTTAAATAAATCTAAAATTAGTGTTTTTTCTGTATTGAAACTTTCTTATCTTACTTAACAAATAAGCGTTGAAAGTACATGTATTGTGTTATTAATATAGACACTATGCTGTGTCTTCTGTCCCCGGTTTACTTTAGATACAATTATATATTCACAGTTGGGGCAAATTATTTGTTTGATGGTATAAGACAGGAAACATGTACAGTAATGAAGTACTTTATCTCATTTTTTTTTAAATTTATGGACTTTGAAAACCTTACATGTTTGATCAATTGATCAAAATACAGTAGCAAAGCACCCATTGTTGATTTGAAGTAATTATCAATTGAGCGGTTTTCTTGTATTTATTTAAATTAACAGAAATTCACTTTCGCGTATGTTTGTACTTTGAGCTGCGTTATCGATGTCTTCACATTTCTTTGTGTAGCTTATTCGGAACACCAAACCGATTATTCATACTCACCTCGGATTTAATACGACGCGAAAGTAGTTCTACAACGTGACATCAAATGTAAACAAAAAGGGGTGCTGTAACCTATGTAAAATGTCTTATGAATGTATTTACGTTACATCAAACGGAAAATGGTGGCTATTTCGAACAAATCCATTTCGAAGTTTGGCGAAAAGGGCCGAGAAGTTGCGATTGGTTAAGAATGTATAATCAGTGTAATGTTGTGATGCTCCTATAAAAACGTACATCAGAAGATCTCGGATAAATTCTCTTTTAATAGAATATTTTCTAAATATAGAATCATAAACAGACAACTTAAATTGTATGTCTTCTTAATCAGTTTTTGTTCATCCTTCTATTTTAGTTTATTCATACTTTACTGCAACTCATTTGAATACATTCATAGATTTAAAATTACAAGAATAATACAAAAATTAGATATTCACAAAGATACATAGCGCAAATAGGTCGGCCTACAAGTTATAACAACATTAGCAACAGAAATCCTTACACAGACACAGGCTTATTCATTTTTGTATCATATCTATTCTGGTTCTTCTCGTCTAATTATTAACTTTATTTTACAATTTAACGGAATCTTAAAAAGTAGAAAGAAAATCTTAGAAAAACAAGAGCCGGTTGATGCTCCCCGAATAGGTTTTGGACACAGGAAGTTATACCTCTTATAGTGTCAGAGTTATGTCACAGACAAAGTTCAAAGTGTAAAAACAACCCAAATGTTGTGCAATACACATTGTCTCAATATGGTGATCATTTCTGTGATATATAGTTGTGAAATCCGACTTCAAATAACGAAGTTATAGGCCGGACACGATTTTGCTGCAAGATCATGCTGTGACCTTGACCTTCAAAGTAGCGACCCAAATGTTGCGCGCGAGACATCGTCTCAATATGGTGACCATTTCAGTGAAATAGTTTAAAATTCAACTTCAAATAACAAAGTTATGGGCCGGACACGGTTTTGCTGCAATGTCATGCTGTGACCTTGACCTTCAAGGTAGCGACCAAAATGTTGCGCGCGACACGTCGTCTTAATATGGTGATCAATTCTGTGAAATAGTTTTAAAATCCGACTACAAATAATGAAGTTATGGAACGGACACGACTTTGCTGCGAGGTCATGCTGTGACCTTGACCTTCAAGGTAGCGACCAAAATGTTGCGCGCGACACGTCGTCTCAATATGGTGATCATTTCTGTGAAATTGTTTTAAAATCCGACATCAAATAACAAAGTTATGGGCCGGACACGAAATCGGGACGTACGTACTTACGGACGGACGGACGGACAACCCGGCGACTATACGCTCCCCCGAAATTTTTCGGGGAACATAAAAACTACTAGTATTTGGGAGAAATACAGAATAATTTTATTTGTTTGTTGTAACGATATATATGTACATATTCATGCATTTAATTAAATTTCAATTACACAAGGCGATAAAATCAGTGCTATGTTTTAAAAGGGAATAGTATAGAAAAAAGATATTTACCAAGATGTCTTTTAAAAAAAGGATAAAACTTTACATTCAATTTTTCGTCGCCTCTATATTTAAAACTGGTAATTTTGAGTAAAATTTCCAGATTACGAGGGGTGTTCAAATATGAATGCAACTTGGTCAATTTTAGTTAAGTGACTGTTCACACAGACCCATTCTATGAAAGTCACGGAGGATTGAGTTCTTATGATAACATGTCACGGAGTTCCTAGAAAAAATAACGGATCTCGTTAGAAAACTTCTGTATATACCGAAGAAACGCTCGACAAAATTGTATATACCGAAGAAACACTCGACAAAAATAATCTTGTCATCTTTAAAAAGAGAGTTTTATTTACTTAATTAAACTTTGATTGCCTTACGTGTCAGAAAAAAAACTTTACAATCCCTTTTTCATCGCCTCTTGTTTAAAATCTGGAAGTTTTGAGTAAAATTTCCATATAATTTGATCATTTGTTCATTTTGATATTCTTCCTTGCCATACTTTATTACCTAATTATAATGGAAAGTTGCGTATAAAGCCAGGCTTACAAATTTATGACCGACTGTCACTAACCGGTCCAATCTATTATTAATATAGCTCATTTTTTTCTTTTCAGAAAGAAACGTGAATAATAATCAAGATAACTTTAAAATATACGAAGAAGGAAAACACAAGATATAATTGTCTTCAGAAAGTTTAATTATCATCATCAGGGTATGCGTATGTTTTGATATACACGTTCCTGTCACCTTTTTTTCTTCAAAGCAAACAATTAATAAAAACACATTAGGTAATGTAACTATATAATAATTTCTGTAAACACAAACAATTACAACTAATTCTAACTACGTATATGTTAGTGTTCATCCGTGCTGTTCTACAGAAATTAAAAACTTCGACGGGAGCGATAGCGACAGGAGAATGTTTCTAATTTCTGTAGAACAGCTAAGGATGAACACTAACATATTTAGTGTCAAGCTTTATTTGGCCCTTGATTACGTCACTACGCGGTACTATGAAGCACTATGAAAAATAGAAGGCGACTATGAACGGATTTCAATATAGTATCGACTTTTTTACTTCTATGAAAATTAGCACACATAATTTTTAAGAAATACAGCGTTTTCATTGGATGACAAATAAAGCTGGACACTAAAAACTATTAATGATCTTTTTGAAATATATTCCATTGCTTGATATCACCTTGGACAAAGAATCTTCTTCCATTTCTTTTCTCCCCGATTCTGGGCCTGTGTATGCAATGTAGTAGAAAAGTTCTTCAGGCTGTTGGGGACATCACTCTGGAGTGCATGGTATCTATACATGTTTACAAGACAAACCACAAAGTTAGTCATAAATCATTTCTATGCTTAAAATTGGTTAAACATCTGATACTTCACACATATTTATTAATCTTATATAACAAAATCAACATCTGATTTTCACACATATTTATTAATTTTATATAACAAAATCAACATCTGATTTTCACACATATTTATTAATTTTATATAACAAAATCAACATCTGATTTTCACACATATTTATTAATTTTATATAACAAAACCATTCATTATCACTTAAGTATTACATATTTACTTAATTGAAACAATTAGATTTACCAAAAAAGTCAGTTAATTTTTCCTCAGTATATGGCTAACACATGGAAGTTTTAATGAGTTAAAATTCTTTTTATTGCAAAATATGAAATAACTATTTTTTTTGAAAATCTATGTTTTTCCAATTAACAATTTGGGGAACGAATTGACAAATTGTTCGGCCACAATGACCAGTTTTGGGGCCACATATTGACCAATTCTGGGACCGGATTACACGGAGCTTGGGTCCCGGTTGACTTGAGCCGGGTTGAATGTTGTGCGTCCCAAAATAATCGGGAGTTGGTCAGTGACTCTTACATTGATTCCCACGTGCATTTTGAAATTTTATTCAGATTGTCAACAGACCGCAAGATTATCTAGAGTGGGACACGTTGGCTGACATTATCAATTACAATTGAGCATATTGTGAAAAATGGTCGTTTTCATTGAAAAGCTTCGTCTTACAAGTTCAAACCGCTACGAAACTATGAAAAATGCATCAATACTGATAAAACTTGGCACAAATGTTGACTGGACCATAGCCTCTGTAACAGCATGCTCAATCTTAAATTTCCTATTACCATGGCAACGGGGTGACGTCTCAAAATTGCGAAAAATAACTATTCGCATTGGTTTTATTCCCCATCAAAACTAATTTCTAACAATGGATTGAGATGGAGTAAAAGACTTTTCAGCGTTGTATACACGTTACCTCCCGACCTCCCAAACAGAAGGGGGACACCCCCGCTTCTGGCATCCCCTTTATGTACCATTTTAATGGGGCGGCGCCGAAAGAGTGACCACTTTTTTAACAACATTTCTCAAACGAAAAACAGTGTTTGGGTCCTAAATAGGCCATTTTTTACTGTTTCAGACTTAAAAAAGGGACAGGGAAAAAACCGTGAAAACAGGTAAAAGATTAAAATAACAATTCATGATTCAGGCTTTACATCACTAAGTTTTTTTCCACACATGAAAAGTGTATTTCTCTTACATGTGAAATACATCATTTTATTACATGTAGCCCGGGTCTCCACGATACCGGTGTTCATATTTTATACAAGGTGCTTTTCAGATAAAATTTGACTGACTTGAAAAAAAGAAGGAATAAACAACTTCATTAACATTTAATCCTCTTAAAAATACATTACAGAGTTCTGTTACTATGAAATTCTCGCTCACAAGAAATGTAAACAATGGTCGACCATTTTGTATGACGTAGTTAAACAGACTTCATGCTACCGGTGCACTGGTAAAAATGTTATTTATATGGAAAGCCATTTCAGTTTTAATAGCAAAAATATCATTTCAGCATTCTTGTATTCATATCTAAAAAAATAACTTAAAAACAACATAAAAACATGCGTTTCCAAAGTTTACTGTTCATCTTTTATTACCCCCAAGGGATCTCTGTTTAAGAATCTTTTACTCCCAATTACAGGTGTATATTATACCATGTGACTGGATTAAAAAAATCCCCTTCACCTAATTTTAGTGTTGTTGTGATTTTCTGGTCCTTTTATATCATTGAATCTATTTTATTTCTATATGATGAAGATAAAATATCAATTTGGCACTTTACACAGGCTCCCTTAAAAGACAGAATGAAACTGACTTTTCAATTTTCACAAATTGTTTTATATGCACTAATGGCTTTCCATACATTTTTTTCCCGCCAAAAATGATGTCAAAAGGTCAAGTGACATGTAATGAAGGTATGAATGACGTCAACACCTGTCATTTTTTATTTTTTGAAAAAAAAAAGAAGAGTGTTTTGTAGAGAGACCGATTTATGCAATGGAGGAATAGGATAGTAAATGAAAAATAAGGTAGGATATGTGAAATATTTTCTTCAGAAACTCATTAAAATGTTTAAAAACTTTGAAATAGCAAATATTACTAGAGCATGTCAATATAAACACTCGGTAGGCGGCGTTGACTGTAATATCGCGAGATATGTGAATACACCGGAACCGTGGAGCCACCGGTATCGTGGGGTTCGAGTATATTCTTTTCATCCCAATTCAGTATACTGTATAGCCCGGGTACAGTGAAAATTATATGTTATAATCTTACTGTGAAATAATCAAAATAACGCATAATTGCAATTCTTGCATACATATAACAAGATGCCGATACGTCCTGCTTCCCTCGTGTATAAATGAAGAAAACGTAACTTCGCTCCAGATCGTAATTTATTTTATGCCGGAGTGAAAGCTCTTCAGTTCAGTGAAACCGTTTTCAGTCGTTTATAGGTCAAGGCCATGCGGAGGTGAAATTTTATCAACTAAAATTAAAAACATGAAATTATTAAACTGAATTGTGATTTATTTAAGTGATAATCATGTGCATTGGAAGAGTAATTTAATAGATAATGTTACTTTTATTTGTTTTGGATATATTCCGTTTCTTCCGTGCATTTTTCAAGCGTTTTATGACTGGGTCAATATAGTTTAGGTCTCGGGTTTTTATGACCCAAATCTGACCCAATTAATTGGTTTTGATGACATTTTCTAACTGCATTCAGCTTTTTTGTGTATTTCTTTTTATATCAACCGGATTTGTTTCGTGCTTTGAAATTTTTAACAGTCTTTTAAGAACTTTACCAGCCAACGGTAACGTTTGGACCAATGAAATGATCAGATGATTGTAAAAAAAAGAACCGTTGAAAAATAATTAAATAAATTGACAAAAAAGAAATCTGCCAAGGAATTTTAATTACAGATAGCTTGTACCCCAGACACTTATCATTATTATTAGATTATCTTAAAAAAGATGGTAGTAATCAGCAATGTGTAATCGCCATGGAAGATTTTATTCTGTTTTAAGAAAAATAATGAATCCGTTCACACTGACAGGAACTTGAAATTCTATAAATACATACATGTGATGTCCCGGAGGGATTTTAAAAAATCCTGATATTTCGACACTGATCCCGATTCCGGATATTACAGCTTGAATTCCCAATATTTAAAAAAAATCAACCACAAATGTAAACCGTGCCTCCAGGCATTGATTGTTATCCGTCCATATCCTAAATTATAGCGGATTAAATGTTGAGTCGCTAATTGACAGTAAGGTGGCGTAATAAACAGTTCCATCACCCAAAGTGATTCTCACATGTTTAACTTAACACATGTCATGTGTAAATCAATTGACCTCTTTTATAATTTGGCAGTAGGTATTACACACTATGTCATCAAAACGAGGTTGTAAATTTACATGTATGAATTCGGCTCAACCTTTTGATTTTCTTTGATTAGTGCCACACTGATAAAGATTAGCTTCAGGTGAGCAGAATCATTTAAAGTGGATCATTCAAAAACCTGTTTGAGATGCAAAACCATGTCTAATTAACCTATTTTTAGTGAGTGGGTAATTTTTTTGTTTTTTATTTTAGGAATTACACAATCATCGAGGCAAAAATGTGGATTTAATTAACTGAACGGTTATTGCATTTATTTTGAGTCTTCTACTTACGTTACGTTATTTAATTGTCAGAGTCTTATGTTCATGAAAAGTTGTTGCACATTTTCAAATAGCTTGTGTTTTTAAATTATTAGCAAATTATTGTATGACTGAAAAGACAGATATAATTATTTAAACTGAAAATAATGAAATGTGAACATGTGACTGTTTTAGAAATAGCCTGTATGACTACACTTATTTATTTATCTATTTTTTATCTTTTGGTGAAATAAATTAGTAATATTGATCAACAAAAAAAATCATAAAAAAATATACATGTAATCATTTAATGATTTTGAGGGTAATATAGATTCTTTGAACCAAATGTGCCAAACACGCATTGAAATTCGAGTCAATAAAAAAAACCAGTTTTGAGCCTCAAAATCCAGCTGAAAATCCAGATTTGGCCCATTTCATTTGTCACATGTATGTAAATATATTAACGATAACATCCATGCAAAATATACCCCTTATATAGTAAAATGAAATTCTGGAAAGGCTATGAACGGGAAAGTCAGTTAAAATAATTGTTTATTTTTTATTTTACATTTTTCATTTGGTATTTCATGCACCGCTTCCGTTTTTACTCGGAACACCTTGACTGTTAGTATTAATCCAGAAAAATTGTGATTGTTTCTTTATCAGAATAGCCCCCTATTATCATTATAGTTTCATTGAAAACGGCATCTCCCAACAAGATATGACACTGAAAATTGGTATATAGATAAAGAAATCTATATATCTTTTAATTGTTTTTTCCTTTAGAATATACACATGTCTATATAGCCAGGCAAGCCCTTGGAAGCCCAGCGGACCCAGCCTTTCACTTTCCCATGTAAAAAGGGGGTATATTTTGGATATTATCGTTGATATTGATAGAATTTCAAGTTCCTGTGGTCTGTTAAGTAGGATATATATGTAACTTTCGTTAAATTAGTTATTACTGATAGTAAAATCGGACAAGCAACCAAGGTTGGCAAAGTATTGACCGCCCAGGAAATCCCAGGTAGGAAAATGCAGTTAGATGACTTGGGATAACCCAGGTGGGAAAATGCAATTTGATGACTTTATATTTTGCAAGGTTCAAAGTTTTCTTGTTGCAAATTCTGTCGGTGTCATATTGTAAATAATATTATACTAATATTTCAGGTACAATGTAAGTTGACTTAAGCAAAATGCTGTTAAAACAGGCGGGACTTCTCCACAAAGGCCCAGAATTCTGCCAAGCTGTGAAATTTGTTATTAAGCTTCAGATATCAACTTTGGTGAGTCTCTTTCTTTTTTTATATCTTAAACCTGTGACGTACTTGTTAAATTTTTTTACGTTACTAAGGTTTGAATATCACTAAACCTTTATATGCTTATTGCATGTCCTAAATTGAATGATCAGGGTTCCCATGGTCAGGGAAAAGTCAGGGAAAAATGATTTTTTTTCAAGGTCAGGGAAAAGTCAGGGAATTTTGAAATTGGTCAGGGAAATTTGAAAAATAAGTAAAAGTCAGGGAAAAGTCAGGGAATTTTGTAGAAAATAATGTTTTTGTGAAACAGCAAGAAGCAAAATCAGTAAAAGCTAAGGCAGTTTCTTCCATTATTTTGGGTATCTTTATTGTTATTTTTGATTATGAGTGTCTGTTTTATTTATATATTTTTTGACTCTTAAAATGATTATGCTTCTGCCTGAAAATTCTGGATATTTTTGTCATTATTAGCAACTATCTTATTAAGAAAGAAGGTAAAAGGAGTTTAATCATCCCTTGTCTCCTGAGTTATTTATGGTTTGTTCTTGTGAAAGAGCTGATAATCTGCTCAGGAGGCTGAAAAAATATGAAAATGGACTTGCTTGTGAAGTAAAATGCCAAGTGCAATGCCTTCAGGGTCAAGGTAAAAAAAAAAGTAATAAAAGAATCCAGTAAATATATTGAGAAACTTGAGAAAACACTTAGTGGACTTCGATTAAGTACCAATAATTTTAGTGCCATGTTGTGTTTTTGCACACATGCATTTAACCATAACTTTGATATACTAAAAGCCATAGCTAGTTTTATTAGTAGTATTATAAGCTTTTACTGCATTTTGCTTTTAATGTAGCCACTTCAATACCTGTCTTATTGTTTCTTGTCCAACACCAGTTTTCCATTGATAACAATCATATATTTTATTAAAATACAGGCCTGTTTCAGTCAATCCTCCATTGATAACACTGCTTTGCATTTGTTAGAGAATGAAACATCTTTCAGCATAACATGTACTATCAAATACTTTACATTTTGGATAAATTTACTCATACATGTACTTGTTGAAAGTAAACAAGACAAGTTGCTTATGACAATTGCTCGCTAATATTCATGTATTTTTTATCTTGAATAATTTAAAATAAAGAATTGGAAAATAGGTTAGCTGTTTGGGGAGGAGGAGGTCGAAATACATGTATGAAAAATACATTTAATGTTCTAAGATTGTGCAAACTTGACGCTGTTATTGGTCAGGGAAAAATGGTTGTGGTCAGGGAAAAGTCATGGAAAAGTCAGGGAATTTTGATTTCTCTTCTTTGTGGGAACCCTGATGATGCTGGCCATTTTTCATTCAATTATGGAAAATTGGCTCATTGACATTTTTTTTTTCAGTTACAATAAAAGTATAGTAAAACAATCTTCCTTTAATAAAGGTAAAATGACTGTTTATTATAAAGGTATAATTATATAGTTGAGCGTAATACCTGATTGGCCAATGTGACTAAATTTCAAATCTTCTTATGTTAACTTGTAGATGTGATTGTGAGTAACTCCTGGCTGTTACGAATTTTCCAGAAGAAACCAATCAAATCATTCATGACTAAGAAGCTGTGTGATTTTTGCAAAAAAATGTCACAATCTTTGAAGTCAGAAAAGTCATTAGGTTTGCCTATGAAAAAACATTTAGGTACATATTTTGAATATTATTTCTGCAGAGTATATTGCAGAGCATATCTTTTTTTAGCTCACCTGTCACAAAGTGACAGGGTGAGCTTTTGTGATCGCTTTTCGTCCGGCGTCCGTCCGTCCGTCGTCCGTCCGTAAACTTTTGCTTTAAATGACATCTCCTCATAAACCACTGAGCCAATTTCATCCAAACTTCACAGGAATGTTCCTTTGGTGGTCACCTTTAAAAATTGTTCAAAGAATTTAATTCCATGCAGAACTCTGGTTGCCATGGCAACCGAAAGAAAAATCTTTAAATATCTTCTTTTAAACAACCCTAAGAGCTAGAGCTTAGATATTTGGCATGAAACATCTTCTAGTGAGTTTCTACCAAGTTTGTTCAAATAAAAGCCCTGGGGTCAAAATTGGCCCCGCCCCAGGGGGTCATTGATTTTCCCTATATGCATATAGTAAAAACTTAAAAAATCTTCTTTTAAAGAACCAAAACAGCTAGAGCTAAGATATTTGGCATGAAACATCTTCTAATGAGTGTCTACAAAGTTTGTTCAAATAAAAGCCCTGGGGTCAAAACTGGCCCCGCCCCAGGGGGTCATTGATTTTCCTATATGCATATAGTAAAAACTTTAAAAATCTTCTTTTAAAGAACCGTAAGAGCTAGAGCTTAGATATTAAGCATGAAACATCTTCTAGTGAATGTCTACCAAGTTTGTTCAAATAAAAGCCCTGGGGTCAAAATTGGCCCCGCCCCAGGGGGTCATAGATTTTCCCTATATGCATATAGTAAAAACTTAAAAAATCTTCTTTTAAAGAACCCAAAGAGCTAGAGCTAAGATATTAAGTATGAAACATCTTCTAGAGAGTGTCTACCAAGTTTGTTCAAATTAAAGCCCTTGGGTCAAAATTGGCCCCGCCCCAGGGGGTCATTGATTTTCCCTATATGCATATAGTAAAAACTTAAAAAATCTTCTTTTAAAGAACCATAAGAGCTAGAGCTTAGATATTTGGCATGAAACATCTTCTAATAAATGTCTACCAAGTTTGTTCAAATAAAAGCTCTGGGGTCAAAATTGACCCTGCCACAGGGGGTCATAGATTTTCCCTATATGCATATAGTAAAAACTTAAAAAATCTTCTTTTAAAGAACCCAAAGAGCTAGAGCTAAGATATTTAGCATGAAACATCTTCTAATGAGTGTCTACCAAGTTTTGTTCAAATAAAAGCCCTGGGGTCAAAATTGGCCCCCCCAGGGGTCATTGATTTTCCCTATATGCATATAGTAAAAACTTAAAAAATCTTCTTTTAAAGAACTCAATAAGCTAGAGCTAAGATATTTAGCATGAAACATGTTCTAATGGGTGTCTACCAAGTAGGTCAAATAAAAGCCCTGGGGTCAAAACTTGGCCCCGCCCGGGGGGGTCATTGATTTTCCTTATATGTGTATAGCAAAAACTTAAAAATCTTCTTTGAAAAAACCCAAATAGCTAGAGTTTAGATATTAAGCATGAAACATCTTTAAATAAATATCTACAAAAATGTTCAAATAAAAGCCCGGGGGTCAAAACTGGCCCTGCCCCAGGGGTGTCATTGTTTTTAACTATATGTGTATAGTAAAAACTTTAAAAATCTTCTTTTAAAAAACCCAATGAGCTAGAACTTAGATGTTTAGCATGAAACATCTTCTTATGGGTGTCTACCAAGTCTGTTCAAATAAACAAATAAAAGCCCTTGGGTAAAAATTGGCCCGGGGGTGGGGGGGGGCCTATATACAGGTGAGCGACCTCAGGGCCATCATGGCCCTCTTGTTTTGTATTTATGAGTTAATTCAAGGTTTTTTTATTAAAAAAGCATGGGCAGCACTATTGCTGCTCACCTGTTATATTTTGAACTCATGAATATCATTTATGTTTCTGGTAAACAAAGGGTTAAAAATAGAAACTGATACACTTTAAAATATGCAAAGGTGGCCACTGATTGGCTGATAATATCACTAAATATTGAATTTAAGTATAAATGTAACTCACACAGTCATGTATTTGTTTGTAAGCGTGTAAGTGAAAATGTTATGAAAGGATTTATGTTTGTGTTAAATAGAAATTAACACATAACCTCACAGGGGTTATCTCAATTAGTCATGATCTGTAATTTACAGCCAAAAAAAGGCTGTTTTCCCTAGCCCAAAATTGGTATATTTTCCCCTAAAATGCTGTGTGCACTGCAGCACATTCTTCACCAAAACCATGACTTAACAGCAGCTGACTTATATCAGCTAGAATAAAAAAAGCTATCCGTATAGGTACCATGCATGTTAAATTGAATTAAAATTGAAACTTTTATAAAATGTGTTGATAAATTTCATTCTCACTTGTTCAATGTTGGAATTTAAATATTTTTCTGACTTATCACGCTATATTTTTCCCTTCAGAAAGCCACAGGTTGTTTTGAAAATTGAAAAAAAAAAGATCACTGCATTGTAGGAACTATCACTCTGCATGGAAAAAATTCATGTTGAACTTCTAAAAATAGAAAATGGTAGAGCTGTCATTGATGATACATTGATATCGGATGACCAATATCTGCAATACACCTATATGTCAATATTTACTCTTAATTTCTTGTATATAATTCACTTTCATACCTGTTTAAATAATTTTAGTAAAATACAAATACACAAGAATGTACATGTATGTTGATTAGTAAGTAAGTAAAGTAAAGTCTTTATTTAATGAGGCTACACATTTGGTTTCCCAATCTTCCATGTGGGCCTCAAAAACATAAATATACATAAAATATACATAATTTACATCATGGTTATACAGTGAAGTTTTCAAAATACATATCGCCCCATTAAAGCAAAAAGGTACCAAGCGACATTTTGGCCAAAAATGACTTTTTAACATTTTTCAATATGTTTTAATGTTATCTTTAATCTGTAGAAATATCTCTGTAGTATCATGTTTATTTGCAGACATATAAGGTTATGTAAAAAGGTACAATGTCAATATTTTCCCATTTAGTAATGCAAAAAGGTACCATATGTATACCAGTTTGAGCAAAAAGGTACCAAGTGTCACATAGTACCTTTTTGCATTGAATGACTATATAGGTTTTAAGCACTTATTTTAATGCAAAAAGAAACCATGTGTCACATGGTCCCTTTCTGCACACAAAGAATTTACGACCCTTAAGGTTATTATATATATATAATTGTTTGCTTGGTACCTTTTAGCTTTTTAATGAATACACAATCTAGATGTTGATAAGGACATCAAATATAACAATATATTCCAGAGTATTGTTTCTGTTTTAAATTGAGGAATTAGAACAGTGTGAAGATAATGATAGTGTAT